GTGAGGCAGTGTGGAGAGGAGAAGGGAGCTCCGGTCGGTCCTGGGTGCGCCACAGGTGGGCATCTCTGAGTGCCCCATGGGAGATTCCTGCAAAGGATTTAAACCAGACAAAAAGCAGGGGGCGGGGGGTTGCCCATCATACCTGCGCAAACTATAAACAGGCTAGATGCATATTTCTTCTTCATCCATCCTGGAGTGGAGTAATGGGGCATCTCTGAGTGCCCCATGGGAGATTCCTGCAAAGGATTTAAACCAGACAAAAAGCAGGGGGCGGGGGGTTGCCCATCATACCTGCGCAAACTATAAACAGGCTAGATGCATATTTCTTCTTCATCCATCCTGGAGTGGAGTAATGGAATAAGGCTATTTCTAAGACAGGATGGAGCAATAAAGCCTAAAGATCCAGGGAGGGAATCAAAGCCAGGGACTATATTGCTAATTAGTAATTCCTGTGTTAGCAATTCCTGTGTTAGAATCTGCTGATCTCACCTACTTAATAGACTTTGGTTCATGTCGTGGAGCAGTCTCAGAGCATATGAACTGGATATTCCTTTTGAGTATGATTGAACTGAAAAATATGCTCTAACAACACACCTGATACATTCCGGCTGCCCAAGGACATTCAGTCCATGGCAGGAAACTAAGCTAGTCTGAAATGAAATCTCCTGAAATGTGTGTTGACTGTGTGGATGCAGGGCCCTCAGCTCCCTTTCACCCTAAAGATCTGCCATTAATCAACTACATTACTTGCTAACATAGCCAGTTGTGTCTTAATTTCCCTATTAAAATAGAAAGTTGCCAGCAGACGGTTGTGATGACAAGAAAATGTTCTCTGTTGCATTGTTTGGCCTTTGTTATCTGATGGTATGTTACTTTATGCCCCAAGATGTAGGGAGAGTAAAATCAGTTCTTGACTAAACACAAGGACGAACAAGCAAACTGTGACATATGTTCCTTATATGGCAAAACATCCACTTTGCTTCTCTTGCTAACTAAATTATAATAAAGCATTTTAGGAAACTCTGCAGTTGCTATGATTTTTGCTATATGTCTTGTGATATGTAGCATATTTTTTGTTTCAGCGTATGAAGAGGTGTGAATACATTAAAATTTTTGCTTTAATTTGAAAGAAAGCAAGTTTTTAGTGCTTTGAGATGGAAAAGGGGAAGTATCTTGTATATTATAAACATGTAAGGATACACACATACAACTATGTGTTAAGATATACAATATTCCCCACTGCTGTCTACACTTTAAGGAAGTTACGCACCAAGCAGTGGTTTCTGTGCCATCACTCAGGAGGTACAAATGGCTCATATCCGCATTGCTTGCTCACACCATTCATCTGTTTTTCACCTTCATGCTTGGTACCATCTCAGGCTCGCTGCTGATGCCACTTTGTTTTCCAAAATGAGGCTAAGCAAGTTGTTATTCATTGATCGAGCTGAGAGTGGAGGGAAAGACTCCTGCTAACAGCTTATTTAACCAGCACAGGTTTGTGGCGTTGTATTAGGGTATAAACTTTTTCGCTACCCGCACCATACCAGTCGTAAAGAGGTCTGTGGCTCAGGGAACTATGCAGGGACCAGGTATAATCTGTCTGTCAGATAAAATTACACCGTATACCTGCATGACTAGCATTGAATCCAGAAGCTTTAAAGGGAGAGTGCTGTCTTCAGGGCTCTTTTCCAGGTGAACTACTATTCAACACTGAGTATCTGTCTAGCCTGTTCTGGGCAGCAGTGTTGCTTTTGGAGGCCTCCCTGTACCTACCAGTGAAGAGGAGACAAGTCTGTAGCAGGCATGATTGTGGTGGAGACTGTTTACCCATGAGTGGCCTAACATCACAGGCTTCATGGAGTTCCAGGTCTTTGCTGTGAACGTATTCCCAGCTGGGTCACTGACAGGATTTGTGTCTTCCCAAGGCCACCATGAGCACACAACATCACAGCAGACCACTACAAAGGAATCACAAGTGGAAACATGTTTGTGATGCCAGGGTCTTCCTAGACCCTTCTAGTCAGGCATGGATTCCTCGAGCCAGAGTAAGCTTTTGATGTTAGATCACAGCCAAGGGTGGAGAGTTAGACGTGTCTTCTGTGTGCCTTTCTCTGTCGCATCAGATGCTGCTTATGGAATGTTACCCAGCAGTAAGAGAAAACTCATATGTGGTCACATAGAGAGAACTCAGTACAATATATACACTTCAGCTGGGTCCCACATGTCAGCATGGTCCCTGTGTGGAATACATATTCAACTGGCTGGCTGATGGTAAATGCTGAGTAACAAGCTGGCCCCAGCATCCCCAACTCCTGTCCCTTTACTTCTGTGAAAATGTTGGAGAGCCATGCCATTTTGAGCAGTCACAGCGTTCTTGCTGTAATACAGTTTGAATTGTTTCAAAATAATACAGAAGAAGAGGTTTGCTATATATACTTGTAAAAAAAAGGCTGACTATTTGGAACTTTTGATACCAGTAATACATGTGCTAGTCCTCTGTGCACATAAAACAGATTCTTGTAAATTATGCTAAACCCTTGTCTCCGATAAATTCTATTTTGTTACTCACATTTAATTGAAAAATCTTAAAGGAACCTTAAATCTAAGTTTGTATGTCTTTTTAGAATTAGCTCTTCTCTTCTTGTTGTCTTTCCTTCTACTGGGACAAGTTCTACAACACTGAACAAAAAGAATGGAGCTCTCTTGTTCTCCAAGCATCAGACAGCATGACTGACTAATGGCCAGTTAATACAATGAATACCTGACTGAATATACTGCTTTGTTAAATGAGATAGCTACAATTTGGGGCAGTCTGTGGACAATTCAGGTATTATTGTGCCAGATGCTTGCAGAAAGGGAAGCTTTCAAGAGAACATCCAGCACAGTAAGCTCTTCCAGGCAGGTTTCGGTAAACCTGTATCACTCCTGATTCTTAAAGAGCCTGATTCTTAATCTTCCCAGGCAATTCACTTCAATGCTTATTATTCTCAAACTTATTCAAAAGGTTTCCCTACTGTTTAAACTGAATCTTTTGTGATAAAATACAAATCTTTTTTTCCCTTTGTCTTATCTACTGAACCTGAAAAACAGATTATCACTTTAGAAGAGCCTTACTGGATTAAACTGGTAATAACTGGTACATACACTTTTAGTTAAGCTTAAAAAAAAAAATCCACAGTATCCAGGGCCAATAAGATCTACAGGTTAGCTACTTGTTTTGGGCAAGTTTATCTCTTTATTTTGAACTTAACTAATTTCATTTGTGGACGCCTATCTTTTGTATTATAAGAGAGAATGAATAATTGTTCCCTTTCAACTTTTACTCCTGCAATAACTTTTTATATATTAAAGGATTTATCATCTAACTCTTTTTTTACATGTTTAAAATCAGTAACTTGAATGTTTCCAGTCTTTCTTCATCAATCTTTATTGACGTCTCTAAACATCATCTTCCTTTCTTCTGAAGACTCTCTGAACAGGCCACAGTTTTTCTTGAAGTGTAGTACCCTAAACTGTAACCAGTGTTCCAGTGAAGCTTTCCCAGTGTTGGACAGTGAACATGCCTCTCTCCTTTCTCTCTGCGATAATGAAATACAGGGAGTGGTGCAATACATACTTCTTTCACTAAAGTTTGTGCCTAAAGATTTTTACAATGAAAATTTGAGCAGTCAAGAAGACCAGAAACGTGAAAAACGCTTGTTTTGGAAAACCAGTTCAAATCTGTTTCTCCAATCCTTGGAAGGATCAGTCAGGTATGGTTTAATGCACTAAGAAACCTTCTTGGTATTATGCCTGTCTTACGGCTGAGGGCTTTCTATACTGACAGGATAAGACCTGTCTTCCCAGAAATTAGCATGTCACTTAACACATTTCATCCCAATAGCATGAAGGTAGAAGGTGAAAGGTTAGTCAAAGCCTTAGAATGTATATCTAAAAAGAAGTCATCTAAAAGAAGCATTAGATTTCTCTTTATTTAGGTAAATGATGTTTAATGTAATGCATATGCTTAAAACTAAAGCTATAGTATGTACCTTCTAAGTAATATGCACCCCAGAAGTCCAGAGGAAATACCAAGGAGAGATGTATTTTCATCATAAAAGGAAAAAAAGATTTGAGAAACTGACTTGGCACTTTAGCATATGGGCAGGGCATCCATTTTGTTTCCTGCTAAATTTTTCCCTTTTAGTTAAAAGTGAGGTTTAAGCAGGTTATGACAATAGAAGTCCGTGTTTCAGCAAGATAACAAGTGTGACATGCTTAAACAAGTGTTATCTTATTTGACCAGATATTGTCATGTATCCAAACGCATTGTAACCCAACTTCTACAAACCAAGAATGCTAATTATAATATAAAAGACAACTTTTGTGGAACAATGAGTGTCATAAAAATAGGACTGTTATGTGTGGGGAATCTAACAGATTCTTACCATCTAAATGTAAAGAGCCACATAGCCTTTCTTTCCCAAGTGTTGTAAGTATGACAGGGTTTTGTTTTGTGTTTTGTTTTCTGCTGAACTGCTAGCTAAGTATATGCTTTGATTTCAAACAAAGAGGGATTTTCTTTGTGACAGATATGCATGTTGAACCCATAGAAACCCTTAGAAACTGATGCTGTATCTGCTGTGTAACTGTGTATTTGCTTTTGCTTATTAGCATTTGCAAAAGATACTGGTTCAATTTCTGCTTCAGTTATTGTGCTAAGCAGTCTCCATAACAGCAGTCTTTGCCAACTATTATCAACATGAAAAACCTTGCAGTGGCAGTTTTTGGTTTCTGGAAAAATCCCAATATTTCTCTGTAAAACTGGATATTTCAATAAATCTGGCTGAAATCCTTGGGCCAGCAATCCAAAAATATATTTTAATAATACTCACAGGGCTCCTTTTAAAGCAAGTGATAGATATATCGTCAGTAAAGGAACTCTGCTATCCCAGAAGAAAAACCTTACATGCTCTCTGCCTGTATATGTGCTCTTCTTTGTGTCCACTCTTGACGATTTAGACTGGGGCAAAATCATGATCACTGCTCTTTTGTATTGTTTCTTTATGAATTTGACATGGCATTGCCTAATCACTCTCATTAGATCAGAAGACATGAAGTGAAATCCTGTCTCAATAAAATCATAGAGCGAAACCTCATCTTACTGAAATGAATAATTAGTTTTGCTGTGAACTTCTGGGGGAATGAAATTTCATTGCTGAGGTTTCTGAGC